CTCTCTCTCTCTCTCTCTCTCTCTCTCTCTCTCTCTCTCTCTCTCTCTCTCTCTCTCTCTCTCTCTCTCTCTCTCCCTCTCTCTCTCTCTCTCTAGCGCGCGCCTGCGCCCCTCCCGCTGAGAATAACGAAACAGGCAGGTTCGAGAAAGGTATATGTTGCGTGTGAACCAGGTGCACTCTCTCAAAACGAACGAGAGAGAGAGAAAGAGAGAGAGAGAGAGAGAGAGAGAGAGAGAGAGAGAGAGAGAGAGAGAGAGAGAGAGAGAGAGAACAAGAGGTACGGCATCAAACACACACGCTTGGAGGACGACATACAGAGGAGTGTGCAAGATGGGGATGGACGCTAACCTTTGTGAAGCAATTGCAACAGAAGGTCAAGAAGGTGCGATTGGACAAATGATCTCCAGCACGGCAGAGTGTGGCATCGAGCGTCGAGTGGATTGCAACACTTTTTTTCGCAACGGCGCTAAAAATACGGCAAGTTCGAATTCAAACTGGTCCATCCTCCCTGTTGAAGGGCATCTCACAAAGATGTATCCCCAGAACCACCAGGGAAATGGAATGGGCGGTCCGTTGAGGGCGTCCTGAAAATTTGCGCCCCTTCCTGACCAGGGCCTATGGGAAACTTCAGAGGCCTAGGGGCATGACAGGGTAAGTTGGGCGTCACAGAGGCATGGCGCAAATAAATAGATCTCGGGGGGGCATTCCAAAATTTTTTCTAAAAAACAAAGGAAGGAAATGAACTTTTTTTTTTTAAAAAGGGAAAAGGAAAAAAAAAAGTGCATTATGTGTAGGGTGAACGTAGTAGCATGTCTCGGGGGGAAGACGGTACCATGGGCGCCACCATCTTCCACCAATACAACGCACCATGATAACGAATGTATGCAAGGAATCTTGCTGCTCTGCTATAATAAAAAAAAAAGGACATAGCATGTAGTCCATTACCACGTGACCTTTTGATATGCAATTTTAACATAATGTTCAAAAAGACACGTGGTCGTGGACTTCTTCCTACTTACGAGTATACAGAGCAATCCACGGCCGCACACACATATACACACATACAGAGGGGGTGGGAAAGGAAAATAAAGATTCGGAGATAGGTAGTTATAGTGCAGTTCAGGGACACACGACCTTTTAGAATCCAAGCTTTACATTGTGTTAAAAAAGTCAGGTGGTCATGAATTTTTTCAACCTTAGAAAAAAGGAAGCAGTTTATAAGTTCGTATACTTTACATAACGTATATGAAAACGAACTCATAGTGAAACTGTAAACTAACGATGGAGGAGGTAGAAATAGACAGTAGCAGAACGCAGTCCATGACCACGTGTTCTTTTAGACGGTTATACTTAACATTTTTGTTAAATAGCCACGTGGTTAAGGATTATGTTTGAGACACACACATATGCAATTTCTAAACAAACGGAACCACGGTCAGTTCTACTATCTTAAAGTGTCGTACAAATTGGTATTTTAACACCATGTGAAATCGTCGTTGCAAAAAACTTGCACGCATCTCGAACCTCCTCATGTTTATAAACGTACTAGTGCAAATTGAAAGATGTTGCAATAGACTCTTGTTTTTTTTCTCGAACTGCCTCAATCTTGGACACTATTGGGCATATGTTGAACTAATGTTGAACCTATGTTTGACGTGTTGAACCAATGTTGAACCAATGTTGAACCAATGTTGAATAAATGTTGGACATGTTGAGATGATGTTGAACCAATGTTGTAAAGTGTGTTGTTCAATGTTGGTCTTGTGGTTAAAAGTCAGATCAACAAATGAAATGTATGTTCACCAATGTCCATTATTGCACCAACAATGAATCACACCAAAAAAAATACAAAATTTTCTGTTGAAGCCACATAGGCAATGCTATCGTCACGATTCGCCAGTATCTTCCTTGAGGCCTGAATCTTCCCGAACCAGCAGACCACTGTTAGATCATTCCAGATCGACGGCCAATGCTGACTTTGACTTCTCGGATCGGGGCCGGGGTCCACGAGCTGACTGTTAACTTTCCAGTCAACTGTTGGCCTGGGCCTTTTCTGAGGCCTGTTTCACACCTCTATTTTCAAGCCTGCCCGTTCATGCTTGTCTGCGGGCGCGGCGAGGACCCAGTGGCTCAATTTGAGGCCTGAATCTTTCCGAAACTGCAGACCACTGTTAGATCAATCCAGATCTTCGCACAATGCTGACTTTGACTTCTCAAATCTGGGCCGGGGTCTACGAGATGACTGCTGACATTCCGGTCATTTGTCGGCCTGGGCCTTTTCTGAGGCCTCTTTGACAGCTTTATTGTCAAGCCTTCCCGTTCATGCTTGTCTGCGGGCGCGACGAGGACCCAGCGGCTCAATTTGAGGCCTGAATCTTCCCGAACCTGCAGACCACTGTTAGATCATTCCAGATCGAGTTGACTTGGATTTCTCGGATCTGGGCCGGGGTCCACGAGCTGACTGTTGACATTCCGGTCAACTGTCGGCCTGGGCCTTTTCTGAGGCATGTTTGACACCTCTATTTTCAAGGCTGCCCGTTCATGCTTGTTTGCGGGCGCGGCGAGGACCCAGCGGCTCAATTTGACACTCGAGTTACATCATGTGCGTAAAAAACAGACAAAAAAAAAGTCTTTGGCATTTTTTAATGTTGTATTATCTTTCTCTCCCTCTTATCTTTGCATCTGTCCATAAAAAGTTAATATAATAAAAGAAACATGTGCACCATGTTTATCATACAATCAGACAAAGTAAAAAATGAAAAAAAAAAATCTCTTGACAGCATTCATGGCCGGGCACATTGGACTTCAATCTCGTCCAGAGCTGAATCGAAAAACTAGTAAGGTGAGTATCCTCTGATATGCTGAACTTAACCGTTTGAACGCCGTGAACGCGCCTTCGTGTTCAAATGTGCGTTTGACCGCGGATTGCGCGTTCGCGTTCAAAATTGAACGGCGTTTTTTTTTTTTTTTTTTTTT